CCACCTACATTTGCTGGCCTGGATTTCTTGACTTAGGCCAGGCCTAGGCCAGGCTCAGGCCAGGTAAAACCCGTTCACACCTAGACCCAGGCCAGGTCACATACTTTCTTTTAATTTAAAGATGCTGTAAAGTCCGTTCTGCGCATCGGTTCTGTTCATAATGCACGAGTCAATTCCTGGAGTAACCCCCCCCCCCCGGGACACACCCCCCCCCGGAATTTACCCGATAGACAGTTCACAGGGGTCAGGAATTTGCCTTTCATATATGTGCACGGGGGCCAGGTATTGGAGGACCCCGGGGATTTGACAAATGGTTGACCAAAATCCCACCCACAAATCTTAAGGCAGCAAAACCTAGTTTCAGGCATGCATGTGGGCGCGCAGATCGTATTTTGTGCCCTCGTGGTCAAGGTGGCGTGAAATTTATTGTAAGAATAAGCGAAAATTATACCTTGTGCCATGCAAATTTAAATACAACTATTAAAGGTTTATGTTTTATAATATTCCATAGCAGTTTAATACTATAATGTTATTAAATGACTATGATTATATGCCAGTCGATTTCATGAAACTTTGACCACAAATTTTCCGAACTTCGTTGCGAAGTTCACAAGATTGTTGCGAAGTTCAAAAGTTCATAATGAGATTCACAAACAAGTTCGTAAACTACACATTTGATTGGCTTCTTTTACTTCACGGACCAATCAGGGACTTTGTTTACAAATTGGCTTGTGAATTCCAATATGAGCTTCCAAACTTTGCAACGAACTTGCAAACTTTGCAACAAAGTTCAGAACATTTGTGGTCAAAGTTTCGTGAAATCGACTGTAAAATCGTCTCCGGGGTGGGGCATTTTCCACTCTCAGCTTGCCCGGGGGCCGTGCATTAGTCTTCAAGTTGTGTCCCGGCACCCGGGCATTTACACTATCATAACCAACCAAATCAAATGCCCGGGTGTGTTCCCGGGGGGAGGGATGGTTACTCCTGGAATTGACTCATGCATAACAAAGGGGGATCCGCAGATCAACATAAACATTGCCCAAATTTCGCTTCTTTCGAACTTTTTTGAAATTAAACGTAGAGTTCCTATTCATTTTATAGCGAACCAGAAAATAATTGTTTACATTATGCACCAGTCAATGTAAATCCCCGCCCCCCCCCCCCCCAACCGGGAAGGGGGCGGGGATTTAGCAGGGAAAGTGGTCAGTTTTGATGGTAAATAATACACCATCCTTAAATTAATTTTAAAACAAATGTAAAATGGTGTCCCAATGTCGTATAATTCTAACAAAGAAAACTCTTATAGGCATGTGATTTACCTAAAGTGTGAATAGGGTGGCAACGAGATGTATAAAACAACGTTATAAACCAAAATTGTCCGCTGACTCTAGGTTCGAGAGAAGAGCTTCAAACTAAAAAATATTACGTGAAAATCCTTTAAAAACTTACCATTAAGACAGGCTGTTCTTTCATTCAAGCGTTGTCTCTTTATCCATGGTCGAATTTCCAGTAGAACTTTTTATAAACCATGTAGCGATGTAGCGAATTTCCGGCCGTCTTTCACAACAAATATAAACATCACAATATAAAGTCAATAACTGCACGTATTTTTCTCTTTACTACAGAATCGTTTTCCCTGTCCATTGAGTTATAATTTCCAAAACTAACCAGTCGCTATAACGTAAAATAAGCGGTTATTTGTGAATAAAAATCCCCTTCGATGAGATGAAGTAACTGGCGCCATCTTGTCTTCTCCAAACATTACAAATTTTCCCGCCAAAAACACTATGACATATCGGACCACTATATAGCTGTATATAATGAAGTAACGTACCAACCGCTGGTTTCCTGTAGACATCGGTGGGCGCATGGATATTGTAAACAAAAATATGGCGATTTATAGACGAGGTTGCGTTTTATAGAACGTATGTTTGACGTTGGTTTTAAATGAAATACTACTAACTTGATAAACAGTGACATATACAACATGGCTTTGGTGAAATCGGGAGAGAAAGATTTAGAGATCGCTGTTAAAAATGATGCGAAACCCCCCAAGAAACAGGAGATACTTGATGAAGACACATATATAAAGGTTTTATATTGAATGACTCGTGTGTTCAAATAGAGTCGTTTTATAAACTTTTCTTTCATTAAAAGATACGAATTACAGAGATTAACTCTGTAGTATTACTGTAGCGCCTGATGCCCGTATGTAAAATTCGACCATTTCAATTTCGCCGTGGTTGAATATATTCAAGTTCTATGGCTGTGGATCCAACATATTATTACGCATGCGTACATACAATATTCACTATTTTATGGAAAATAATTTTTTATGAACCTGTCCCACATTCTAACCCCTACTCTAGCCCTAACCGGTTCTTATTCTGACTGTTCTGGCCACTGGTAGGCAGGTAGAAGAACTCTTACATATACACTTGAAATTCCACTTTATCTTTGGGATTTGATCTGTGTGATAGCGCATGCAAGTGCCTTTAGTTAACCACTCGACTATTGAGGAATTGCTTGAAGTGAACTGAAATCTATTTGGTATCATTTTAGCATGTTTAACCCATTGAGTAGTATTGTGCCCAGATGTGCCCTCCCCTACTTTGTTATTTTACTCTGTCTAATGCCAGACGATTTTACTTGTATGGGGCAGCGCTGGTACTGAATGGGTTAAAGAACGAGGAAAACACTTTTATCGGATCTATAGCCATATAACTTAAATTTCCGGTGTCGGAACAATAACCACGGCATTGTTATTTTACTCTATCCAACATCAGGGAAATGTTTTCAGCTGAGTGGCTTGTAAATCATTAAGCTGCAATGTGCCCTAATACTCCCCACTGTTACTACGGATGTCACCAAAGTGTGAAAACGCTCAAACATTTGAGGTCTGTATCACGTTCATGCCCAAAAACGTTGACGGACACACCTACATATTTTTAAACAGCCAATCAAAATTGTATAATTATTACTAAGAACCGATTGGCTGGTTAAATCTAGAATTGTAAATATGAAATGGTATATAGTAGGCATGCGTGTCGGTCAACGTTTGAGGGCATGAACGTCAGATACGGTACAAATGTGCGAGCGTCTGCACACTTCAGTGACGTGATACCATCCATAGTATTTCACTCTGTCCAGACCGAGATAATTTTATTTGTCTATTCTCGGAGAAAGTGAAGTGTTCCATTTTAAATTAATGGGATTTAAACTAACTGGTCCTAATGTATGATACATGTCAATCACACAAGGAAATTTTTGCTGCAACTTGCAATGCAATTTGTGACATAGAGCCTATTAAAGTAGTCACAGGAAAATTCTGAGCTTGTTTGTTTTGCCGACATTTTTTATCCCATTCCTTCCATTTTTCATCATTTAGAAATGAAGTCAAGTGTATTCTGCACATGTGCTATGTGAGGACCCTCTGAATACCCAAATTTCATGTTTGTTCGACATCTTCTACATGAATTGAAACTCTAATCTATATTCATTTAAAAGTGTAGCAAATTGCCAAATGAGAACAATGTTAGATATTAACTGTGCATCATGTTTCATGAATATAGGGTCGATCTTCAAAATGTAAACAAACGGTACATCTGCCGAATGGACTTGACCACCTCTTTAAAATATGTTATGTACTATTTTGCAAACTAATTATATAAACAAATTGCAGCAAATAAAGTTGCCTTGTTCAAATGATTGAATATTTATTAAGATCTAGGTATATGGACCAAACTTTTTGCCAAATAAATAAATAAGCAACACAAATCGGCCATGCTGTGAAAAGCTTCAAAAGACCTAAATATTGCTGTTTTTATTTTGTCTAGTCAATAGAGAACATTATAGAGAGAGATTTCTTCCCTGAAGTCACAAAACTGAAAGCTCAGAATGACTATTTGGAAGCCATCAATACACAGGATGTTGAGAAACTCAGAGCCTTGTCATCACAGTATAACATTCTTCACACACCAGCTGGGGCACCTCGTAAGTGAATGGTTCAGACAAACATGGTAACAATTAAGTTGCAACGATTGGTCGTGGGGACTTTCCTGCTGAGAAATCTCATGTGCAGAACTCGAAATTTCCAGCCCTATCCAATGGGATACCAGTAATATGGATTCTGGTATCCACCCAGAAAATCTAGTATACCACATTTGCATAACAGATTTAAGCAGTAACCAAACACTAAAACAAGCTTTCAATTACAAAAAAAAAACAGAGTCACTTGAAAAGATCTAAACAAGAAAGAAATCTCTGTGGAAAGGAATTAGTTTTAAATTTGTTTAATTAATATCCCAATGGATAATTAGCTTGTGATGTCTAAGGGCCCGGTTGTTCAAAGCACAATTAGCATTAACCCTGCATGGGTTAAAATTTAGCCTGCTGTTTGGCTTTGTGTGTTTCTACACATCAGAAACTAAGACCTCTAATGATCCTGACCAGATTTCTAGGAAATTATTTCCAAGTTTATAAACAAGCTGTTGGAAAGTTTTTCGTTAACCCTGGATTAATAAGCTAACAGGCTTTCCAACAACTTTCCCCAGTATCCAAATTTAAAATCTGGTATCTTTTGGATATCGGGATACTTCAAATTGCAACTAGCCCTGACATGTACTGTAGTAGCAACAATTTCATGCAAAAAACTGGTTGTGAGATCATATTGACTAACATTTCCAGACAACAAGTGGCTGATACGAGGGAGTGGTATCATTCTGTTGCTCGACACAACTTTGTGCCTGCAACAAGATTTTCACGTATCACACAATAACATTTGTCACACGACCAGTCCTTGCAACTTGTCACTTCATGTGACAGAATCTGAAATGGCTGCAGAAGAGTGTTTGTGAATGTCCGAAATTTGTGTTATCAACCAAAAGCTAAGGCATGTTTTCAAATATTGAATGAAATTTAAGAACTGAGATTTTCAGCTACAAAAGGTGGACATACTGTTGGCAACCAAATCTCCAATATTTCGATTTAAACGTTTCCAGGAAAGTGGCCTTAATTATATCTTTCTTATTAATAGCTCCGACGCCAGCTAGTTTTGAAAGACCTTCAACAGGGAAACTTTGGGAACCAGCGGACGACGAACAACCAAGTGGTACCCCCGGTCCTAACTTCGAACAAACACGGGGAGACTCTTCGAAACAACAAGAAAACAACAAAGAACAAACCGAGAAAAGCACTTCTCTTGATAAATTTCTTGCTAAAAACACGAGCGAGGACAATGCATCTTTTGAAATAATCATGGAAAATACGCTGCAAAAGAACAAAGAAAAACACGCTTGGCTTTACGAGAAGGAAAAAGAACATGCCATGTTAGCACAGCAAAGACTAGCACTCCCAGAAAACAAAGATGGCGGCCAACTAAAGTTAGCCGATCGGCCGGCGAATTTAGACAATTGGGAATACACTAATAAAAACGCTTTGATGTATGTTCCCGAGTGTTCAACACTGACAACAGAGGAAGTGATAGCGCGAGCTAAGTTACAAGAACGTGAAATTAAACACACAAACACGAGGTTAACTGAGGATGTATTTAAAGAAAAGACAACAGAGGATTCGATGAACAGGGCAGCGGAAAGTCAAGTTATGGGAAATATTGGAGGAAAAATTGGAGTTGATGGAAACATAATAGGAGGAAATGAAACGCCAAATGTGAATGGGTTTAGATTTGTAGCTACTCCTTCTCCAGCACCAGGTGAAGAAGAGTACTGTATATGTATGAATGAAAAACGTTTTCGATGGGGAGGCGTCCAGACTGTACATATACGAAAAAACATTGACAACTATATGGCTAGGTGATAGCTTTCCCTATAGCGACGTGAAAAGACACCTATCCGTACCTTTTAGGAACGGTATTTTCAGAGGATTTAATGCAACGGAGAGATGTTGTTTCGCTTAGATGGGTTTTTAGCAGATGGGATTTGCGAACGAAAGAGCCCTGCACTGGCAGCAGTCGAACCTACGATTACGGTGCAGCGCTATAACCAACTGAGCTACAGAGTCCAGTTGCTACCTATATTATATGTACCAATATAATTCTCATTAGTATTTTTACACAAGTGAATATAAGAAATCCGACGTGGTGATTGGTAAATTTTGACGTGATATTCCTTTACAAAATGGCGACTAGCCTTTTTGTGGAAATCACGGATAAAGAAATAGGCGAAATTAAAATAAATTCAGTCCCAAAAAAACCCACCAAAGACTTGTGTAAAAATACTAAAACAATTATTGCCTCAGGCTCGGTGATTATCGGGGAATATTCACCTCGACTTCGTCTCAGTGAATATATCCCGATGATCATCTTACCTTCGGCGAATATTATTAATTAATCTCATATTTTTAATAGGTGTGGATGCATCGCCGTTAATGACGTGGGGAACGATCGAAGGAACTCCCTTCCGATTGGACGCCGGTGACGTCACCGTAGATTCGACTCCAGGGCCCACATTTAAAATTCCCGAGCCGAAACAACGCGAGGTTCTGGCGCATAAGTTGGCAGAGAAAGCGAGCAAACGACATCGCGAAGAAAGGCGACAGGCTCTAGCTGCTGCAGCCTTTGGCAAGTAAGTCACTATAGCAATTTCATGGAATAATTGTTGAATGGTTTTGTAGAAATTGTCGAGTGGAATTTTTATACATTTATTTTCATTTATTAGCCATTCCGAAGTTGATGAGTGGACTGGGGACGAGTGTTAAAAAGTGCCCGAATTAAGAAATGAACCAAGTCGTTTGAACCAAGTCTGAAGACGTTTATCATGTAAACGTATAATAAGCCTTCGTATAATAAGCTTTCGCAAATTGTGAAACTACTCAGTATTTTAATTGTGAAACCACTTACCCAAAATTCATACGGTAAATATCGCGATTTTCGAAAGCTTATTATTCGAAGGGTATTCATGTAAACGTCTTCAAACTTTGTATTCTTATACTAATTTGGAGGTGGTCGTTTTAGTGATTTGGTTCATTTCTTAATTTGGGCACTTTTTAACACTCGTCCCCAGTCCTCTCCTCAACTTCGGAATGGCTAACCAGGGGGCAGTTGCGGAAAAGGCAACTATAGGCCCTCCCGCATGCATCGAACCTGCGCGGTCCTGCGATTCAAATGCAGCGCTCTAACCAACTGAGCGACAGAGAGGCAGTTGACGAGTTCTAATCACAATTTCGTGCATAATTACAAAGTTGATAGCCATGTTTTTATTTAACCATTGTGGGCAGGCCTCGAATTTCCCTGAAATCAATCGACGGCAATGGCGTTAGAAATTGCCGTATAACGTAACAGCTGTCTATGGCAATTTTGGCAGTTTCCACGGCATTTTTTCAAATTAATAAAAATTTAAGTTTATTGTTACTTTGGATTGTTGACAAGCTAGAAACATGTTTACGTATTTCTTTAAGTGTTTTTTTTTTCAAAGAAAACTGAGACTAAAATAGTAATTTACGCATGATTTGATCAACATCTGAATTCAAGTATCAAAATAGTAATGCACAGTGAATAGTATAAAAATTACACTATACGGCAAAAAATTGCCGTCGTTGCCGTAATAATCCACGGCATTTTGTTCTCCCTCTACGGCAATTGCCGCGATAAAATTCGAGCCCTGATTGTGGGTAATCAAACCAACACACTGCCGTTGTTTGCCTGCATTGGCTGGACAAAAAACAATACACAGGTGACGATGAATCGACCATTTTTTGCATAAACCAAGAAAAAATAGATAGATATTGAGGTCTACTACGTCTGCATCAAGTTTCCTAAACTTCTTATTCTATATTGACTATGTTAAAAACCTATTTCTCCCTTTAGATCCCCGCGGAATAAAAACACAAGCGAGAGATTGAGTAGCATGTCACCGGCCGCGCAGAGGTTGGCCTCGGAGAGACTGGGTATTAGACTTGGAACGGACAAAGCATTACGGTCAAGCTACTCACCATCACCTCAACGTATTCCACAGGGTACGCCAGATAGATCACGAACACCATCAAGGTCACCATATAGTACACCTGGAAACAATAGAACACCGAGAACTCCGTCATTGACTGATAATTTACTTAATTTACCAAAACATTAACTAATGTTTTTATCGCTCATAATTAGTGATCGGCTGTGGTGGTAGTAAGTTATCAGAACAGTGGTAACTATAGGCATGTGAGTTACCTGAAAATGTGCATTGGTTGCCTTCGTTCCATTCTATTCTTACATTATCAGAACAGTGGTAACTAGTTATCCCACCCAATTCACTCACATACAGCTATTTCAATTAAGGTTGTCCACGAGCAAAGCGGAAAAGTCGAATACGAGCGCGAAAGGCTGCTGGGAATCGCTAACAAATTAATGAATTTTCAAAGCGATTCCCAGCAGCCTTTCGCGCTCGTATTCGACTTTTCCGCTTTGCTCGTGGACAACCTTAATTGAAATAGCTGTATATAATTTAAATGCTTGGTTACCTTTGTTCCATTCTATGCTTACATTATCAGAACAGTGGTAACTAGTTATCCCACCCAATTCACTCACATACATAATTTAAATGCTTGGTTACATTTGTTCCATTCTATGCTTACATTATCAGAACAGTGGTAACTAGGCATGTGAGTGAGTTACCCTACCCAATTCACTCACATGCATAATTGATATGCTTGGTTACCTTCGTTCCATTTTATGCTTAAATATCAGAACGGTGGTAACTAGGCATGCGAGTTTCTGAAAATGTTAATTGGTTACCTTTGTTCCATTCTATGCTCACACTAAAACAGTGGTAACTATAGGTATGCGAGTTATCTGAAATGTTAATTGGGTGGCAACGAACATTAACTTATGAAACCACACCCTACGATATTGTAGGATTGCGCTATATATCTGTACCTGTCATTACCCTCTTGATCCATAGAAGTCCACTGTTGCAGACAGAGAATTCCCCTTCTGATGAATTAAAAATGTCACCTTCCAAAGGCAGGACAACTGGACAAGACTGCCTTTTCTGTTTACGATCATTATGTAAATATGTGCTTTGTGATGCGCTATGGAATTAGTCCAAATTTATTATTCTATACACAGTTGGAAAAGGCGAGATTATTAAAAAGCAATTAATTTATTTGAATAATATACAATTACCGAATTACACCTTAGATAGTTATACTGTATATAAGAGACGAGACCTTTAGAAATCAAGTAGTTGTTGGAATTTGAATGCGTAGCACTGTGCGGAGCCCATGCATGCAAGAGTGCATAAAATGGTAAAAACAGAATAGAAGTGAATTTATGCATGGCGATGTTATTTAAAACATCGATTTGGTTTCGTTCAACATAATTATGTGCTGATTAATTTAGCACAGCGTGTAAAACAGTAAAAACTCGTTGCTCTGTAGTCAGTTGAACTTATTCGAACTGATGATATGACTAACTAGTAATTTGACAATTTCTTATGCAGTTATGCTCCTTCATACGATTAGAAGCTATTTTAAATTCCCAGGAGCATAAAATCTTGTGCTTAACGACAATAGCTTGATTTCTAAAGCTCGTATTTTTTATACACCCTATACAGTTTCCGATGACCAATACACATGCACAACTTCACACAACATATTTTAACCAACACGTCAAAGCATTCGTACATGTTCAAGCCCGTTTATTAACTTGCAACTTTGCTAGGATTTTCGTCTGATGGGTGTGGACCAATAGATGAGTTAGATGTTCAGACGAGGGTACATAGAACAGTGAGCAGATTTCCCAACATTTGTGCCTACGATTTAACGTCCTTATCCGAAAAGACGCGAAAGTCTAACCAGTTACTGATGTCAATGGTATAGCACTCTCTCCTCAAGATCTTGAGTAGAGGTCCGGCCAAGGATTGCATGAATCCGGGTCTCCCAGCTTGGTGATCACGAGTGAAGCGTGGTGACCATGCACGACACTACAAAAGCTGGTTCATTTATAACTCATCTTCTCGTTCATTAGCATCGGAAGAAGAAATTCGCACTTCTAGAAATCACTGCAAAAATTGCAAGTGTAAACAGGACTTAAAATTTTCTCACTAATCAACAGGTATATAACACCTATATAGCTGATCGAATTACAGACAATTCTTAATTCATATACTGAGGGCAGGATCGAAATTTCACATGTTTACACTGTAAAGACACCTTGGTAAAAAAATTCCTATTAATCTAAAATTAACCCTGTTTGGGATAACTTAATGTGCCTGGTTAACGTGATCGTATAGTCCTGGCTAATTTAACCACGATTCCTGGTTATGTTAGCCAGGACTGTGATTAACCAGAGAAGAATGTAGTTAAATTACTCACGAAATGCAACCATCAGGACAGGAAAAATAGTTTCTTCCTATAGGAGTACATCCTGGAGACAAAAATTTCCTGCAGACCAACGGAATATTTCTGTGCTAAATCTGCACGTGCATAAACATATAATATTCTAGCTGGCCATAGTTTTAAATTCAAGGAATAATGTCTATCAACCATATGTTGTTGCGCCCATAGTGGGACATGGGTGTTAAGGTTTCCTTCAAATTTTCAATAGTAAATCTTCATTCAAACGAATTTCCTGCAGCTAACATTTCCTGCGAACAGTGCTCGCCTATTTTTCCCACCACTGGTAACCATGCAGGAACATCAAATTACCCTGAACAGTATTAATTTTAAATTAACTACGAAACTTTTAACCGGGACTTTTTTGTAGTGTTTACAAATTTGACACAACATTCATGTCTTCTCACCAAAGTATAGCATGGGATTTTCCGGCACTAATTGTATATTGTAATTTTAAGTATCCTATCTACAAGACCTATAACTGATCGAATCAATTATACAGTAGATACTAATTTTTCATAAACCGAAAAATTATATATTTGACAATTTGACACCCAGCAGATTTCAAGTTAACTCTAGCAACATTTCTGTTACTCATTAATTGATATATACAAATTTTCAATCAAAAATTGATTAACCAACTCTCTCAGAATTAGCCCCATACATACTAGTGGTGAAGCCATCGGGAGATAACAATGGTCTTCTGCATGACATTCTATCCCCACCAATCCTACGAAATGAATTTCTGGTCCAACCGTAAACCAAGGAGTTGAAGAAGCCTTGCATTGGAGTGAAAATACCCTAGAGACGAAATATGACAGTTAAATTCAAGTGCAAGTAAAACATATCATGCAGCACAATTTGAAAAAGTCATTTGAATCTTGGCAATGAATTTCCGAACCCCACGGTAAAAAGCTCGCACTTGATTACACATTTACAGTTCACTTTTTACACATTACTCTAATTCTCCATTTAAGATACGAGCCTCTAGTCTTGGACCAGGCCTTAAAATATCGGTCGGTCACGGACATTGTCCGACCCATTCGTGAAATTGTCCGACGTAGAAAGGAAACCACCGGACATTCTGTCCGACCAAAGTGAAACTGAGGTTTATTGTTTGTCCGACCCGAGTGTAGTGGTGTCCGACCGAACTGTAGCTTTGTCCGACGTAAATCAAAATGTACCCTAGCCCAGGACTAGAGGCTTGTATGTTAAATGGAAAATCAGAATACTATTGTATGAAAGGTCAACTGGAAATGTTGTTTTAACGTAGTCGAGCGCGGGGCGGCGAGCGAAATGGTGATGTGGAAAACGGGCTTAAGTTGTCGAAGTCTTTTTTAATACTGCTGTTCTGGAAAGCAAGTTAATTTTGGCTTGGAAATAAGTATGAAAGAAACAAATTATTTAATATCTTTACAACATTTACCGTTTATTCATTTGTGTCATTCAGACTTATTTCCGAGTCAAAACTGAACTGAAGGTCATCGGACATATGTCCGACCCAAACTCGACGTTACCGGACATTTTGTCAGACGGCCCTGGAAAAGATATTTTAAGGCCTGTTGGACTAGGGTGCATTTTGATTTACGTTGGAAAAAGTTACAGTTAGGTCGAACACCAGTTCACTGGGATCGGACAAACAATAAACCTCGGTGTCACTTAGGTCGGGCAGAATGCCAGGACCGACGTACATATACATGTGCATATTTTAAGGCCTGCTAGTGATTGACTGATAAGCGGTATCTGCCCGATTTTTGCCTTGATTATCAGGTACACAATCGGAATCGGTAGAATTATCTGTATTTCTAATTGGGTAAAACCGATTGTTGAGAAAATACGTACTTTAAAAATTATGTACATTGCACGTTCATACGTTGCGTTTTAATGCAATATGTAACCGTGACGAAATTAGTGCGCGAAACGTGCCATTTATGAACGGTTTTAACGAACTTTGGTTGCAGTAACATGTTACGTCGGAAATTATAGTTAAAAATCGAAATGAATGACGTCACCTTTACTCGGTCGACTGATATTGTGACATCGTTGTTACAAAATCGGTATCGGGTAGATTGTTACATGAATAATCGGTGATCGGTAATCTCCAATTGTGGCACAATCGGTCAATCACTACTTGCAACAATATTCCCAACACCAATCCTCGTCTAACTTAGCAGGCCTTAAAATATCTTTTACAGGGCCGTCTGACAAAATGTCCGGTGACGTTGAATTTGGGTCGGACATATGTCCGATGACCTTCAGTTCAGTTTTGACTCGGAAATAAGTCTGAATGACACAAATGAATAAATGGTAAATGTTGTAAAGATATTAAATAATTTGTTCCTTTCGTACTTATTTCCAAGCCAAAATTAACTTGCTTTCCAGAACAGCAGTATTAAAAAAAGACTTCGACAAAGTAAGCCCGTCTTCCACTTCACCATTTCGCTCGCCGCCCCGCGCTCGACTACGTTAATTAAAACAACATTTCCAGTTCACCTTTTATACAATAGTACTCTGATTTTTCATTTAACATACAAGCCTCTAGTCCTGGGCTATGGTACATTTTGATTTACGTCGGACAAAGCTACAGTTCGGTCGGACACCAATACACTCGGGTCGGACAAACAATAAACCTCAGTTTCACCTTGGTCGGACAGAATGTCCGGTGGTTTCCTTTCTACGTCGGACAATTTCACGAATGGGTCGGACAATGTCCGTGACCGACCGATATTTTAAGGCCTGCCGTCTAACCCTAATCCCATCCCTTCCTATCCTTCTAACCTTAATCCCCAATCCAATATACTAACGTAAAAACTGTGGACCAAAGTTACAGTGACGTTATTACATGGCAGGTTTGGTCAATTTTCGATTAACATTTTTTGGTAAGCGTGACGTCACGTGCTTTCATTCGCACGTCAGCGCAAAATTGACCAAACCTGCCAAGTATGTTATTGTTCGTGACCCTATGCTCATGCTATCTTTAGCTTAAGTAAAATCAGTCCACTGGACAGTGGCGTAACGCAAAGCCAATGGAAATACAGCCGATGTATAATGCATCGTAGCCTTCTCCGCAGGCATCTCTGCCCGCCAATGTAAAGGCGATGCCTGCGGAGGAGGCTAAATGCATCGTATAGTGCAATATTTACGCAAAGTACTATCTACAACATGAGCCGGCCGTGTTATATCGGATATACAAACTCGAACAGAAGGCGAGAGTTTGTATATCCGACACAATACGGACGAATATAATTCAAGCCGAAATGGCTTATGAAACGTCTTGATATAATATTCAAATCCGACTACGAGGACTGGACGAGATTTCAAGGATCATTCATGGATCGAAATGCGAGGACTTGAAATCTAGTCCAGTCCGAATTGGAGGATTTGAAAAGACATCTCATACGAATAAATCACTACTTAATTAATTTTGACCCAGTCCAAGGACCGAATTAATTGTGATCCAGTCCTAGGACGTGATCCTAGAATTTGATCACGTCAACAAAATAAAGCAATATGGTTGGCTAATTTACTCACGGATTATTAATGAGTTTGAGATGAGAACATTCGTAATTTAAAATAATTCGCAATTTAAAATAATTGAACGATATTTGGTGAGAAAATTGAACTTAAAGTTTATGTAAATCAGCATGATTCTGTATCAGATATACAAACTCCTTCACATGATTTCGTTTGTGTTTTCTCATGAATCATTAATGAATTTCACAAAGATAAATACAGAACCACTATACCTCAATTAAAAAGACAACAAACATTTTCTTGAAACTATAGCCTCGATCTTCTGTGAACAAGTCAACGAACGCCACAACGAATGCTTATAAAGAAACAATAAAAACAACTTTAAATTAAAATACCAAAATGATCCTAACCGCATACATTGCAACTCACGAGAATTAATAGATAAATCCTCTACCTGGCAACCAACAAATGAAAAATACGAGAATATACAACATAACTCTTTTCTTGTTGCTTTCGATCAATTCTCGTTGTTGAATGGACAGGAGACCTGACCGTTTGATAAGATTTGTGAACTTTTTCATTGCCATAAAATACAACACCTAGAGGATCGGAAAAATGTATATATACCATTACCATTATTACCAACAAGTTGTCAAACTGGATGCCATGTTATATTTAATATAAAAATATTTTCAGTACACTGAGAGCCTTAATAATGCTTACAGGAATATATTTAACTAATTTAGAGAACATGCATCAAGGGTCTGACGCTAAGTTAAATACAGATACCAAAACAGGACACTACTGCAAGGGGCACTATTATAAGAGGATCCATGGTCCCCCAGAAAATTTTGATGGTGTCCCAGATTGGCTAAAAATGCATTTGCCATACAACATTGTTACATCATTCTATAATCAATACATTTATCTATCGCACCATTAAGACGAATGCACTTATAATTGCATTTCCGAGGTCATACCGACAGTCATGCGGTAACATTCTTTGTACTGGTTAAAATTATTACAATCATCTCTATTACAATTATTACAATATTTTTTTGGGAACTCAAAACATTTTATGGGACCTATGGTCACGTGGTCCAATACTTTTCCCACCCCTGTTGAATATATTAGTACATGTTACTTACCAACAACAAAACAATAGATACACCGAGAGTAATAACCAATACAATTGAACCATAGTTTCTCCATGCGTAATTATTTGTATCTGTCACTTCAAATCCCCGCTGAAATTGTGAGAACATTGAGTTTTGCCAGAGATAACTTTCAACGGTAAAGTGACAAAAAAAAACACTATGACGAACTCATGAGTTGGCTTGGGTTGGGTCTGAATTGCCAGAGAAAATTTTTCAACTGGAAATGAAACAGTGCGCGTACGTCCTCCAAGACAAGCGTTAAAGTCGTCGCGAAAGTATTTCGTGCACTTAAATTGGTTAAGAATAAAAACACTCGCCATTTTGACTTCTGGATAAAAAATCACCAAAATAATAGTATCCTGCGCAGCTGTTTTTAAGATCTGCATAAACATCTCCCCACCAGCAGCGGATCTACCGTGCGGGTGCGCATCCAACCTTGTGGTTTCTAGCCCCCCTCCTCCCCCCAGAGAAGTCCAACACCACCCTAAAAACTGCTTGACTATACATTTTCTGCTTTTCGAATAGCGATTAGGGGAACTTCTACTATTAGTGCGTGTCGATTTCTTCAAACGGTAATTCATTTGTAAGATCACAAGAAAATACTCCGAACGTTTTATTTAAATATCATGGTTAAGTATGTAAACATGTCGAGGTTGTTATACAGCCATATTTTCAAATATACTGTAGAGCCTTATACAGCCATATTTTCAAATATACTTTCAAATAAAGCAAATTTATTGTACTGTGCTACAGCAACTGTCCAGTCATGACGCATATGTGATAAAAAGCCAATATAAACTTTATAAACAAAAGACAATAAATGTAAAATGTATAACAGAACGGCGAACATGCAGATTCGAATAATGGTAATATTGGGATAGTAGCGTTGCAGACTGCAGAGGAGAGTGGGTAGTAAGGCTCCCTCATGCACCACCCCATGGAAAACCTGCACCCTCCTTGTAGATGAGGCTAGATCCTCCCCTGCTCCCCTCGTTCTTTTGCCATGGGACGTTTTGGCTAAAAACGGTTACGCAAAAGACTGATTCAAGTGCCTTGGGCTTCGCTCAAAATTTTTTCATCAGATGATTTGACGTGGTTTAGAAACAAACAATCTATGTTTGAGATGTAACTAACTTACCTTATCATACATGCGGGCTTTTGGTCGGTCAAAAAGAAGAAGGCACCTGGCAATTGAAACGTCAAAACTAAGTACATGCATTTGGTAACATCTTTCAAAGTAATTCAGAAGTTATCAAGAAACGGAATAAAAGTGGAAATGAAACAATTCAAAATAACTGTAGTTTCTGTAAAAAGTTAGTTATACACGAGTTGGTGTGGACGTACCGTGAACAGTCGAGAAAATCATGGTGCGTATAATAGATCACCATTGGTAGCATCAACAACATTGGTGCAATCCTAACAATGAAAACAGATTAAATATTCTAGAGAAAATGTAAACATCACGGATTCACGGGGGTAATGATTCATGGGAATTGTATATTATATGGAAATTTCGAATCGAGTGGAATTTTTATTCATTTACTAGACCTCACCAGGAGCAGTTGTGAAAAATCAAAAATATAACTATAGGCCCTCTGGCAGGAATCGAACTTGCAGCCCTGTGATTCCGGTGCAGCGCTCTAACCAACTGAGCTACAGACAGACAGTTGTCGAACTCTAACCAACTGAGCTACAGAGAGACAGTTGTCGAGCTCTAACCAACTGAGCTACAGAGAGACAGTTGTCGAGCTCTAACCAACTGAGCTACA